TCTTCAGTTGGAAAAAAATTCATTTATTTAAGTGAGAGAAATGTGCAGATTTATTTGGAGAGGGGAGAAGGGGGAGCTTCAAAGTTTGGGAGTGTGCCTGTCACACAGATGCCATGTCTCCTGAGGATGGGCTCCGTATCAGTCTTCTCAGCTCTCCCCCACCAGCTGACTGATGGCTATCTGTAGGGAGATGCAGGGGGGCCTCCAAGAGGGATGAGTGCAGAGACAAGATAAGAAAATGCAGTCACCCCAAACTGAAGGTAGGAGGATCTCCCTGGGGTTTTCATTTGGATGGATCTTCAGATAGGAGCAGGTAGGGAAGTGGAAAGAGCTATTAGAAACCAGGTGATAAAGCATAAAGAAATTATATTCAAGTGAGCCATCTCCTGTTCAGCTTCTAGGAATGCTGGCTTCTGCCACCATTTCATTGTAAATGAACTTGTTTCTTATACTCCTCATACTACAAAATAAAACAAAACAAAAAAACATGCAACTACTCTAAAACTAAAGGGAAGAAAAAAAAAAGCATGAATTTTGAAATCCAGAGAGTGAAGACTCCAGGATAATGCCTTTAAACAGAAAAATGGGCTTAATCAATGTAGGGGCTTTTTAAAAATCCTGTTGTGAGAAAGTATTTTCCTCACCACCCAGAAGACAAAGAAAAACAGTGAATGTTGACAGCATGGTATTAAAAAGCCACGTCAACCCAATTTGTTATCCATAAATATATATATTCTTTTTAATTTACTCTAAGCCAGCACGTTGGCTCATAGCATCTTACTTTTGTGTCATTATCTCTCTGCCATACACACAAGTCAGAGCTAGGGATTTCAACTCGCGGTGAAGCTATGCTGAGATTCCAGATCTCAGTGGTGTTGGCATGAGTGCTGGTCTCTTCAGTCATAGAGAAGACAATATCCTAGGGAGACTGGAATTAGTCCTATTTTACACCATTCAAGCCAAAATGCAGCTTATCAAGAAGCAAGTAATTGCTAGCTAATGGCTACAGGGGAAAAAACCATTGCATTTCTATCTAAGCATCTCTTGGCGTATGACAATAAATAAAGCTTGGAAAGTGCAAACATGAAGTGGGGACAGTTTCTTGAGGAGGTTAAATAGCAAACATTAAAAAGGCAAGTTACCTCATCCGACTGGGAGGGACTGATTCTGGGCATGGGCGATACTTGTGGAGTTTTCAACTGTGTGCTGTTGCTATCTGGCACGAGCTCTCGGTGGACGGTTTGGATGTGGTTCTGGAGTTCACTTTCAGACTCAAACTTAACGTTGCAGCTAGAGCAGCGAGTCTTCAGTCCCCCTGCCTTGCCTTTACCCTCAATGGCACTCAGATTCTCATTCTGGCCCAAGCCTGGTCTATTCGTACCAGGAGGGATGTTGATGCCTGGGCTACCACTCTTACTGAGGTTCACGCAGCCAGCACACAGACCATATGGCAGGCCATTGATGTCAAGTTTCACCAGATCTTGCTTGGAACGGAATTCTTTGAGGCAAGATGCACACTTGTACAGTTTCTGGACATGTTGGCCACGCCCTGTGGTCTGGACTGCTGACCCATTCCCTGTCTTTTGCATGTGGAATGTCCCATGGATTTTGAGTTCCAACGTGGAGGTCACTGTCTGCATGCACACCACACAGCGGAATCCTGTAAGGGAATTCCTCAAGTCAGGGTGCATTTGACAATGCTCTAAGAATTCCTCTTCACTCTGGAGAGGCATCTTGCAAATCCGGCAGTTTCCTGTATCAAGACTCTTACTATGTGTGACTTTGTGTTCAGTTAGGGTTAAAAGGGAGGGAAATCGTTCTCCACAAATGGGGCACATATAGTGTTTGACAGGGCCTAGGTGAGTCTGCATATGTTCACGGAGGCCATTTTCAGAGAAGAAGGTTCGAGAGCACACGTTACACTTGTAATTCCCCTTAATGAGCTCGGCTTTCTTTTTCACGATGGCACTTTCTCCAGGTCTGATGTTGTGGTCCCGGAGCTGGTGATTCTGTAGCAGAGTTTCCATAGTGTAGGCTGCTCCACAAATGTCACATCCATACATAGGCTCAGAGGTGTCAACATCTTCCTCGCTCCCATCATGACTGTTGTGGGACTCCTGGCTGTTGGTCAGCAAGGTCTGTAGCTCTACTTCCTCCTTCTGCACTTGCTCAGAAGCTCCGTTTGTCCCACAGTTGGGTGTCTTGGTTTCAAACACACAATGCTTTTCCCGCAAGTGTTTCTCTAGCAAAATAATGGCGTGGAAGGCTTTGCTGCAAAACTTGCAGTTATACTTTTTACTGTGAGTGGTGATATGGCACTGCAGCTCCACCTCAGTGCCGAAGGACTCACCGCAGAAAATACACTTGTGTACTTTTCCTTGATTCTCTAGGTGGTTGTGCTTCACATGGAGCTGCAGGTCAGTCTCATTGCGGAAGTCCCAGTTGCAGGATGTGCACCTATAGACTTTCTTTTCATTACTGTGCTTCACAGCCAAGTGGAGTTGAATGGAGACTTTGGAGTCAAATACTTCTTGGCAGAGGGTGCAGCGGAAGAAGACAAAGGTGTGCATATCCAGCAGGTGTTTCTGGAGGTCATCCACTGATGTGAACTGCTTATCACAACTCTCACAGATGTAATACGTAGAAGTGATCATAAAGTGAATGGTAACATGCTTCAGCAAGGACTCTTGATTAGGGAATTCCTTGTTGCACTGAGGACAGGTCAATTTTGGAAGCACAGTGTCTAGATGAGTTTTTAGGTGAGTCTGAAAGCTATCTAGGGACGTGTACTTAGCACCACACTGATTACAGATATATTCTCCGGCTGGACGTGCAGGTGCACCTCCTACTGCCTGCATCATTTTAAGAGATGTCTGCTCAATGGCCACAGGAGAAAGGGGACTCAAGGCCCTGGATTTCTTCCCATTGTGAATATAATTCAGGGCCAAGGGAATGTTTTTATGATTCTCTTTGATATGCTTATTCAGTTTAAGAACGCTGTTGAATATTGGCGAATTGGTACAATAGGAACAAGAATAGACTTCTACTACTGGTTCTTTTGGAGTCCCAAGCACTGGAGACCCAAATCGGGAGCCACTGAGGTCACAATGGACCTGTCTTATATGCTCTTCAAGGGAAGAGTCTGTGAGAAACCCCATATAGCAATGGGGACAAAAGAAAGCATTACTATCCTTAGCTGCAGGATTTGCAAATCCATGAGAACATCGGATATGTTCCTGAAGAGTGTTGAGGTCATTGACAACTTCAGAACAGAAGTTACACTGGTAGACTATGGCAGGCATGGCAGAAACAATCAGACCTGGGTCTTGAGCTTCGTGCACTTGCTTAAGATGTTCATTTAGGTTATAGAGTGAAGGCAACACCTCCAAGCAATACTGACAAATATGGGCCTGTTCTGGCTTATCTAAATGCATAGTTTTCAGGTGAATCTGCAGAACTGCAAGACTCGAAAATAACTGCTTATTGCAGTAAATACAGCTATAGGTAACTTTTGCTTGTTTACTTGAGGGGCCAGTCATATCAGGGGTTTGCTGAGCAGCCCTCTTCCTCCCTCGACTCTTTGGGATTGGTGGGGCAGCCTCCACCATTGTTGAGCTGTCCACTGAGAGGTTGGAATCTGGTGTCGTACTGGACACAGAAGTGTAGCCCACTGTGACCAAGGAGGGGCTGTTGCTGTGATTGCATGACTCTGGTTGCTGGTGACTGTCCATGTGGCTATACAGTTCCTCGACTGTGAGGAAACTCTCAGAACAAATGCTGCATGAGTTCTTCTTCTCCCCACTGTGCACCTGCTCTATGTGGTTCATGAGGGAAGTCTCCTCAACAAAGAGCTCATGGCAGTAGACACACTGGAGGGCAGCACGGTCCTCGTTGGGGGAGCATTCTGGGTGGCACTCTGCAATATGCTTCTGGAGGTCTTCTGGGAAATCAAAGCCTTCCTCACACTGACTGCACTTCTGAGTGTCCTTCATCTTCCAGTCCTCCATCCTGGAACCAGCCTGGGAACCGTCCTTGTTCCTCTCGTGAACCTGCATATGTCCGTGTAAGGAACTAGAGGACAGGAACCCACGGCGACAAATGGCACATTTGTATGGCTTGTTGGATGTGTGAGTCTTTAAGTGGATCTTCAAATGATCACTTCTGGAGAACGCAGCATCACATTCACTGCAGTGGTACTTCTTGTCCCCAGTGTGGAGTTTTATATGGCGATCTCTGCTCCGCTTGTGTTTGAACAGCCTACTGCAGTAGGTGCACTTGAAAGGCAGTTTGTCACTATGACTCTGCTCATGGTGCTTTAGGTAGCTGAGGCGGCTAAACGACTTGTCACAGAATTGACATGGGTATGGAAGTCCAGGGCCACCTTCTTCCTCTCCAAAATCACAACCTTCTCCATGACTAGGGGAAGTCTGGTCCTTGCTAGAAGGTGAGGAAGCTGGCCAGGAGCAAGAGGGATCATCTTCAACATCCACTCCATCTGCAATAAAAAGCAATAGAACATTTCATTGCACATGTTGAGAATTCCAGCACGAGTTTTTTTTGTACCAAGGGATAGCATTTCAACAAGCACATGTTGAAATGGACCATCTTGAACCTTGGAGGGAAAAAAAAAATGGGGGAGAGAATATGTGAGCAAGACATTTCAAATCTGAGCCCAAAGGTTTTATTCTACATTTACTTTTTACTGGATTGTAAAATATAAAAAGATATTAAATAGTTCTATGTCTAAATTACCCTTTTATTACTTTTTATCATTCTTCCTTAGAAGCAAGGTATATATTACACATAGACATTTTATTAAAATGCAGATTTTAATATATTTAATGTTTCTTTTGTATTCATTCTAAAATGATTTGCATATTATGTGAGCATCTGAAGAACCAAATGAAAAGACGAAATATTACAGGAATGATTTAAAATTAATGCAGTCAACCCAGATGTCTAATATTTAATAAAAAATTCCCTCTGCATTTTGCTTGTTTTTATATAAAAAGGCAATTCTGAAGACCAAAATCTTTTATGGGGTTCTTATTGATACAGACCTTATTGCTTTCAGCAAAAAAATATTAAAAAGTAAGCACATGAAAGAAGACAGAAAACACAATAATAATTATGTCTTGTGTAATGAAAGACAACCAGGATTTCTTCAATAACTGAAAGGTTCGAATATCATAGGCCAGAAAATGGATTATTAAATGTTAGAAGGGTACTGCTAGATATTACATGGAGCTGGGATCAGCTGGGATCAAGAAAAAATGAGAGTTTCACAAGGGCCAGGTTTTAATAGTGTATTTTGTTTGGAAAGTTCAAGAGGTGGCCCACCATTTCTTCCTTTTGCAAAAGCTTTAGCAGCCTGAACTTCCTTAGCTAAACAGGACCTGCACTTTGAGGTGAGCAGAGACAAGGCAACTTGTGAAAAACTGGAAACAGGAAAAGTGATAAATGATTATGGTAAATGCTGAAAGATTTATGAGTAACAAAGAGAAGACAAACAAGACTTTGAGCCAGATATAAACTTAGCAAGTTATCTATAAAGAAACTCTGTCTTACATTATGTGGTTTAAAAATTAAACCTGTGTTCTTAGTAATATGCCACCTTGTTTTTGTTGCCTTTTTAGCATCCAACTGAAAAATAAGACCTTCTCCAATCAGTTGTAAAATCTTTTTTTATTTATTTATTTGCTTTTCAAAACAATCTATTCTTCAAGACTAGAAACAAATTGTAAAGCTTTTTCACTCCCCAAAAGGGCAAGATTTTTCATGAATACAGACTAGTGAAGACCACAGAATAGAACTAGTGAGGACAGTGTTTCTGTGAGAGTAACAGGTTCAACTAGAATATTTTTAGACTATGATTAAATAAGTTTTTTTTTTAATTCTTCAAAGCTAAGGCTTACTAGTAAGCTAAATGATTAACATAAAAGTAGAAATTGGTGACCAGTACATAAACGAATTCCACATCTGCTTTCTTTAAGGTAACAAGATTTTACTAGATTGTCGGCCTCTTCCTTATCCACAGGAAACAGATGAGGATCATTCCTTTCCTGCATCTAGAAACTGATGACAACACCATCTCACTATCAATGCCAGATGGCAACCCTCTCACTCTGAGAAAACAACCAAACACCATTCCTGGATGCCTGCCCACTGCAACAAAGCTTCGCCATACAAGTTGAAAACTGCATGATTTTGCATCCTCATTTATGTGACTATAACCCAACATGCTTCCAGCATAAAAAGGTTTGATCATTGTGGGTGTGATTTGTATTTAAAGTGAATAAATCAAACATATACAGATAAACTCACCTTACCATTCAACATACAGAAAAGCAAACAAATAACCCTCCCCTCAAAAAAACTCAATGATCTAGCCTCCTCTTAAAAAGTATTAAAGTACTGAGATACCTAAAGCTTGTATTCCTGAAACAAATCAAAGTTTCTTATATTTTACTAATTAAAACAAGTAATTATTTCTTCAATTTTCTCACCTCCTAGGTAAAATCCACTACATATCACATTTATCTTTTAGGCTTAAATCCTGCTCTTTCTTTTAAATATATTTTCAAACAGATTCATTTGGACATTTTGAGAAAACAATGAATTGGAATATGTCACGCATCTAGACTGGAAGAATATAACTATTGAGCCTGAAAATCTAGCAAGTGAATTTGTTATTGAATTGCAGATTGTGTCTAGGCATGATTTGTGATAATACAAATGCATTAAGAATTATAGAGCAATGGGCCATTATAAAAAGTGTGCAATACTGACATGGGTTCTTGTCTGTGGTCCATGACTGACTATACCTATTACATAACTGTTCTTTTAAGCTTATAAATTTCAATGACATGTTATGTGAGCTGAAGGTTAGGATCGAGTTTTTAACTAGGATTCAAGACAGCTGAAAACCTTTTCTTCCTTCTCTCCTATTGCTTGTCTCTGTAATGGAAATACATAGAAATTATCTACAGAATTCATAAGGCTTCAGGCAGAGGGATAGAGTGGGCTGAACAGAAATAAAAAGTTTGAGCAAGGAAGACTACTTTTAGAAAACTACAGTTCCCCAAACCACTGATTTCTGCTTCAAAATCTAAACTGTAATATTGTAATAAGCTTATTTGCCAGTATTATAAATGGATCTATTCTTCCAGGAACCCACAAAGAACTCACCAACAAAACTCCCAGGAGGGGTGATCCATCGTCTAAAGGTATCAGACTCTCCAAGACTTTTGAAGAGAAGGTCTTCCTAAGTCTATGAGAGTTATTTATCCCATTAGCTTGAGTGTTTTGGCAGTCACAATGCAAAGTATACTTGAACAACTAACAGGGATTTAAACAATGCTCATTTCTTTCTACATATGGAAAAAACTATGGAGGATTTTTTCAAAACACTGTGGTTTCAGAATCAACTCACACTCCCCCCCCCTTCAGCACTCACTAAGTGCTACTTACAGGGACAGTCTTCCTGTGCTATGGCAAGTTTACTGCATTTCAATGTGAAGTACTTCACATGTCCATGTTAAATTTTAATTTTTGGAATCAGTCACTTCACACTAACTGACTTTCGAAGCACTATAGCTCTCACAGTCAAAAAACTTTGCTGGAAACTCACTCCGTGGCCTGAAAGTCTATTTAAAGATGCAAATGTGTGTGCATAGTTAGTGCAGATGTTTTTCTACAGCAACTGTACTTGCTGAGTTTCACCATTTCCATAAAGCACATTAAAACAAGTGTGTGAACACTCCAAGATGAAAGTCTCAAACACTCCTGAGACTTTCAGTGGAAAGTGGAGCCGCCTGACTTTTCTCCAAGCAGACA